CCACAAGAGAGGGGCGGTCGGGTAGCCTAGTGGTTAAAGCGTTCGCTCGTCACGCCGAAGACCCGGGTTCGACATATTTTGTTGGTTTTTCGCCTTCTCATACCAGTTAATTCTGTTTCTTATATTAATTCCTTGAATTTCTTCTTCTTTAATTTTTTCAAATTTATTTTTCAATTGGCTGAATTCATTTAATTTATTTTCATTAATGTTTTGGAAATCTTTTCTAATAATATCCTCTATCTTAGAAATATTATTTTCAAGTTTTTCATGTTCTATATTTATTTATCTTTTTAAATGCAGAGAAAGAAATAGATTTTCCTCTAATTTTCATCAACAATGTTTCTCGGTAGAGAGAATCGTTTATTGATAATTTAAAATCTTTTGTCATCAACAATGTTATCATTAATAAAAGATTTATCCTTGTATTCATTTTTTTGTCTCTGCAATTGTATTTTTGACAAGATCAATACAATCTTTTGGATATAAAGGAGAGGTATTAAATGTCCATTATCCGTTCCCCCTATCTTCATTTCCAGCCTTTGTTAGAGCACGGACCTATACAAGTCCGTGGTTAGAGTGAGGGAAATAACGGAGAGATCCAATGTGCATCCTTGTCTATCCTCATCTAATATATCTTGTGAGGTTAGGATTTTGTTGTTGGCGGGGATTTTTTTTCCACAATGTATATTTATTTTCTTCTTTATTCAGTTGTCTCCAAACATTCAGAAGATCTAGTTCTTCAATTTTATCCATTAATAATTTTCTTGCTTTTGAATTATTTACATGTTTGTAGTTTTCAAGATCTACATTTGGGTTTAACACTACATTCCAGACTGGTGAATATCTGGTGTAGAATAGCTCTTCTGCCGTGAAAGGCGACTATGCTTGTTGTAAGAGGCGACTAACGGGATCGGGTGGCCAGGCTCCCTGACTTGGTTGATGCATGTCATCAATCCCATTTGCGTGGATCAATGCTCATGATATCATTCACTGGATTGTCTGGCCCAGACTCGATTATTTACAGACCGCCGTCATATAGCTGGAATATTGTTGTGCGGCTTTAAACAACAAAACAACAACTAAATTCCAATCCCCACAAATGACCGTCGAGCCATTGTCAAATTCTGCCCTTTTTGGTCATTTGTGGGGAGCGTCCGCGACCCATCTTACTTCAATTGCACTTACCATCCAATTGTTTCCAATTTTAGGGCCCATCATTGCTGAAAATGTGCAGGGGTATCTGGTTTTGCAAAATTGCGCAGCTACATGCATTTGTGTCTGATGTTGGAATTTGATGTTGGAATTTGGACTGACCTTCACCCAGACAAACTTTCACAGGAGTCATTCAAACTGGGTTTTGCAAGAATTTGACTCTGCAAGGAGGTAACACAACAGGAGAAGAAGTACAGACTTATTCACTTCCAGAACCTGATGAGATTCTCTGTTTTACATGGTTTTGGCAGGGCTCGAGATTATCATTACTCTGTCTTACGTGACTTTGAAATAGGGTACTTGAGTCGGGAAGATCAACCTGGCATAGAAGGTATATCATGGACAGCCTTACAGAAGGGTCCCGGTAGTGGGTCAAGATCTGGGTCAAGACATGGCGAGAAGGAAGATGACAGTTTCTTATATTCAGCAAGGATTAAAGTCAAAGATTCCGGAAAATTTGAACAGATGATATACTGGAGATACAACAATGAGATGGCGGATGGTGGAGATTGCCAAACTTTTCCAAAGGGGACATGCTTGTGTTGCTTGTGAGAGTAGAGGGTTCTTCCACAAGCACAAGGCTGAACTTGAGTGTTCCAAGGCCAAACAAGATGCTTGAGTGGTGGCAATTATGATTACTGTATCTTACCTTTCTCTTTATTAATTCCCATAATTTGGTCCAGGTGAGGTGAGGTGAGGTGAAATTGGGTTTAACGTCTCGTCCAAGATTATTGCACTTATATAGCGACGTGCATGCACATGTGTGTGTGTGGCTGCTTGTACTAGTCCGGACTGATGCCGATTTATAGTGCTAGCTCACTGAGATACCATGCCGCAGTTTAACATGAATACCCCACTCAGACACAGTATACTGACTCCGAGCCGACCAGTCCTTGTTTTAGCCCCTTAATGTCGAGCGCCAGACAGGGTAACAACAAGTACCATCTTTTAACGTCTTTTGGTATGACGCGGCCGGGGATCGAACCCCGGACCTTCTGCTCTCTGGGCGGACGCTCTACCACAAGACCACGGAGGCGGCAATTTGGTCCAGGAATGAGGAAGATAATACTGTTGGGGACAGAAAATACCTGTACCTTTAAGACTGAATATTGTGCTGTGGTGTCATTATTGATGTGCACATAAAGTCAGTGTTCTAACCCACTAAGCCACACTTGTCAGAGGGGTAGCCACACTTGTTAGAGGGGTAGCCACACTTGTTAGAGGGGTAGACACACTTGTCAGAGGGGTAGCCATACTTGTTTGAGGGGTAGCCACACTTGTCCGAGGGGTAGCCACACTTGTCCGAGGGGTAGCCACACTGGTCAGAGGGGTAGCCACACTTGTCAGAAGGGTAGCCACACTTGTTAGAGGGGTAGCCACACTTGTCAGAGGGGTAGCCACACTTGTCAGAGGGGTGGCCACACTTGTCAGAGGGGTGGCCACACTTGTCAGAGGGGTAGCCACACTTGTCAGAGGGGTGGCCACACTTGTCAGAGGGGTAGCCACACTTGTCAGAGGGGTAGACACACTTGTCAGAGGGGTAGCCACACTTGTCAGAGGGGTAGACACACTTGTCAGAGGGATAGACACACTTGTCAGAGGGGTAGACACACTTGTCAGAGGGGTAGCCACACTTGTCAGAGGGGTAAACACACTTGTCAGAGGGGTAGCCACACTTGTCAGAGGGGTAAACACACTTGTCAGAGGGGTAGCCACACTTGTCAGAGGGGTAGCCACACTTGTCAGAAGGGTAGACACACTTGTCAGAGGGGTAGCCACACTTGTCAGAGGGGTAAACACACTTGTCAGAGGGGTAGCCACACTTGTCAGAGGGGTAGCCACACTTGTCAGAAGGGTAGACACACTTGTCAGAGGGGTAGACACACTTGTCACAGGGGTAGCCACACTTGTCAGAGGGGTAGCCACACTTGTCAGAAGGGTAGCCACACTTGTCAGAGGGGTAGCCACACTTGTCAGAAGGGTAGCCGCACTTGTCAGAGGGGTAGACACACTTGTCAGAGGGGTAGCCACACTTGTCAGAGGGGTAGTCACACTTGTCAGAGGGGTAGACACACTTGTCAGAGGGGTAGACACACTTGTCAGAGGGGTAGCCACAAAGACGTGATCAAGACTACCAGTTGTTTGACTTCCATTTTTGTCGAAGCCTCGGTGGCTGAGTGGGTTAGAACGCTGACTTTGTGAGCTGGCGATTAGGTGCCTCACTCTGACAGTGTGGGTTGAAATCCCGGATGGGACTCAACCGCACAATGTACGAGAACCTGTACATTACTAAGTAAGTGTTATCCTTTGTTACATTTGACCACTCTCTATATGGCATTGTGTGTTCATCCCTGATGATTGTCTCACATTTGTGTGTGACTGGCAGCATCAGTTACATCAGCTTCAGATGAATGTTACAGGGGCCCAGGAGACTGCGTATTCCACAGGACACTCTACCGATGTTTCTCACTGGAACACATGTTTTGCCTTATGTTTGTACTTTCAGTTGTTACCTGTGCCTGCGTCTCTCAAGGTCATGGTTTTGTTCCTGCAATGTATGAGCTGGACTGTGTCATCGTATAATATGTCAGTAACATTGTGTCTGGTGTAAGACAGTGACGTGCATGGACTGGTTTCACATTTACATGAAGCATCGAAGGTTTTTACTACTCATCTAAGAGGTCTGAGGAGGCAAACAGATTTGGAACTTCTGACTTCAACGGAACACCCTAGAAGATATCTTGGCTACCCGGTAGGATGCGATGATTGTGGTGGTTAACCTTCTAGCGCCTAACAGGCAGTTGGGTTGTATACTCCCCAGGGAGCTGAGAATGATTGTTGAATGCACACTGATCCATTGATCCAAATTTCATACTCTGTCATACAGACCCAGAAACAAATATAAGCAATAAAGCCCCTGTAAGTCTATATTAGTGGGCAAGTCTAGATTACTGCATTATCTGAAAATGAAGAGTCTCTGGGCTCCTTTTTATTATATTTTTATTAAGATAATTTAACTGTTTTTTTCTGTAAGATATGTTCATATCAGAGACTAGATGTTAGTCTACAAATTTCACTACGTTTTGAACATGGTCATATGTAGGTTTTTCAATATGGCTGCCATGGCATCAATACTGAATATCAGATTCAAACCTGTTGGACAAACTGAAGTGTGGTCATTGGAGGGACAACCATGTGAAGTTTCAGTTTGGGTCCTGTTACTGCAGAGGAGATGATTACTGTATGACACACAACGGACTGACAGGTCTAGGCATAAGTCCACTTCACTTTCCGTCAGGTGTTAGCTCGTCACGTAGACCGGGGTTCGATTCCCGACATGGGTACAATGTGTGAAGCCCATTTCTGGTGTCCCCGCTGTGATATTGCTGGAATATGAGCTAAAGAGACATTTTGTTCTGCCAGAACTATTTTATGCCTTTTCACAACGTTAACATTGCAATCATGGACTTATGGAACACATTATCCTTTGATATAGGAGTGAGTGAGTGAGTGAGTGAGTGAGTTGGGTTTTCCACTGCTTTAAACAGTATTCCAGTTACATCACTGTGCGTATAGCAATGCATGTCTTGGAAATTTGTAAAGTCATGAGCTGATGAGCCTAGAAACATAGTCGGAGTGAAAAAGAATTTGAACCCACGATCTAGGTTTCTGGCATGCCCAAGGGACACAACTCTGCACAGCAAATTGCGACACCTTAGACGACTAGGCCACCCGTGCAACCCGTGCCCCCCCTTGATACAGTAACAAAAACAACATCAACTCGTGGATTCAGGTTAAATCTGTTTATTCCCATTGTCCAGAAACAAACCCACACGTCCACCATGCGTGAAGGACTAGCTACAAGCCGAGTACATTTCACCCATCACTCTACAAGCGTTCGGACAGGCACTTGACATACAGATGTCCAACATAGGTCACGGCGCTTTAACAATGTCGTCCCACTCTTTGTGTTACTGATCAACAATCTGTTCAATGAATATATAGTCCCTGTGTTAAAATAATACTGAAGAGAAACAGATTAAAAGAATACACCAATTCAAGATTTGTTTGCTTCTGGTTAAAAAAGAGCATTGGTAAATAAAGTTTGTACGTTGTTTTAAAAAAATCAACTTTTGGGAATAAAAAAAATAATTCACAATAATTATTGTTACCAATGTAAAAACAAGTATCTTAGACATTCAAGAATTTTGAAATCTTATTAAATGAGTAAATCTCTGAGATATCAAGATTTTTTGTCAACACGCAAACATTATAGCCCAAAATTATGGTTATCCAAAGGCTTATGGAAAATATTAGCTCTGTACACTCGAGTTCTTAATATGAAAGTATTTGTAAACGTGCAACATCCTCCATACATATCATAAAACAAAGAGGGAACGATCAACTTCAACAGAACCCTTACTCAGCAAATATCAACAGTTGTGGGTTATCTCCCCTACAACGGCATCGGACATAACAATCACACACTGCTACATGTGGAACAACTAGTCACGAGTCTGTGGCGACACCTACATGAACTATCATACAATGCTAATGAACTGCAAATGACTTCATAAAAATTCATGTACACTTATTCACATATATTTCAAAACTATGAAATGATATCAAAACAATATGTTGAAATAATAAATATTCATTTTCAAGTTTGTTCTACATCAATTCCACAATAGATAGTGTTCAAGTCATATTCCTTAATGCCGTGATGAACTTGCCGACTTTCTAGATAGAATACATATATACACTATTTACATAATCACACACATAACTTTCCAATATTTCATACAAATTGAAATCAAATCTTCCATTATTAAAGCAGAATTTATTAAAGGTAATCAAGCTTACTTTAATAGAATTCAGGTTGAATTTAACAAACTTGATTTCAATTCTTGCTAAAAACTCTTTCAATCTGACTAGTCAACATATAAATGATAACATAAATAATACAATACACAAATATGTACTCGTCTATTATACAAATCAGTGTTGAGGTTAAACATAGGACTGGAAGCACTATTGGGCAAATTAACATGACTAGCACCTGCTCTATCGACCTGTCTGACTGCACCAGAAAAACAATATATGACCACAATTGGTGTCTTTAAGAGTCCCTCGACCCAGATACCAAGGCCCCGACCACCATGGGTGTCTAAAGAGTCCCTCGACCCAGATACCAAGGCCCCGACCACCATGGGTGTCTAAAGAGTTTCCAGACCCAGATACCAAGGCCCCGACCACCATGGGTGTCTTTAAGAGTTTCCAGACCCAGATACCAAGGCCCCGACCACCATGGGTGTCTAAAGAGTCCCTCGACCCAGATATCAAGGCCCTGACCACCATGGGTGTCTAAAGAGTCCCTTGACCCAGATACCAAGGCCCCGACCACCATGGGTGTCTAAAGAGTTTCCAGACCCAGATACCAAGGCCCCGACCACCATGGGTGTCTTTAAGAGTTTCCAGACCCAGATACCAAGGCCCTGACCACCATGGGTGTCTTTAAGAGTTTCCAGACCCAGATACCAAGGCCCTGACCACCATGGGTGTCTTTAAGAGTTTCCAGACCCAGATATCAAGGCCCTGACCACCATGGGTGTCTTTAAGAGTCCCTCGACCTAGATACCAAGGCCCTGACCACCATGGGTGTCTTTAAGAGTTTCCAGACCCAGATATCAAGGCCCTGACGACCATGGGTGTCTTTAAGAGTCCCTCGACCCAGATACCAAGGCCCCGACCACCATGGGTGTCTAAAGAGTTTCCAGACCCAGATACCAAGGCCCCGACCACCATGGGTGTCTAAAGAGTTTCCAGACCCAGATACCAAGGCCCTGACCACCATGGGTGTCTTTAAGAGTCCCTCCACCCAGATACCAAGGCCCTGACCACCATGGGTGTCTAAAGAGTCCCTCGACCCAGATACCAAGGCCCCGACCACCATGGGTGTCTAAAGAGTTTCCAGACCCAGATACCAAGGCCCTGACCACCATGGGTGTCTAAAGAGTCTCCAGACCCAGATACCAAGACTAGTTCACCAGAGTCATTAGAATCAGAAAGCAAGAGCCTGACTACACAGAATGTCTTACAAATTCTCCTGAATTAGAAAATGAGGTGTTGACTATACCGGTAAGTTTCTTAAAGATGTTGTCCCCTTCAGCCTGACCACCACAGTTTATCTTAAGGGGACTTATCTCCATAAAATATGCTGGGTCTGCATTATATAAAACAAGTTCCTTGTGAGGAACTATAGACCTTATGTGAGGTCAATACCTGGTTTTATTGACCTTGTATTGACCTCGTATAACGCCTATCATTGTTTTATTATATAATATAGAGACAAAAGTTACACCCCAGAGACATCTGATTGGCTTAGGTTTGGGAAATACAACTTCTGGGTAATTCCCATTCTATTTTTAGTAACTCAAGTCAAAACCCTAAATTATCAGACCTGACTTCAAGTCAATGTGTGTTTTTGTCAAATGATCACTTCTTGGCCAATGACTATGATGGAAAACTTTGCATTATGTAATGAAATCCATTTTCGCCTTGAGTGGTGACCACATATAAACATGGACGACACCATCACGGTCAGGATGACGGCACGGATGTTGGTTAACCTATGGTGATCATGGCTCGGTAGGTAAATGTGTTATATCACGGGTACTATCATGACGAGTGATGCTATAATGAGAAATATTCAACATCTTTTAAAAGCTGATAACATCAAATATTCTTGGTTGACAGAGAGGACAAATTCTCTTTTTATAAATTAACCTAAAGGCAGACTCTCATTCAAAATGTCTCTGTGTAGACAAACACAGTAGAAACCTCTGCTAAATAAATCAGCATTAAGACATACCAGCTATACCTGCAAACAATATTCCCCCGACTGTGAAACCCAGTCCTCCTGTGACAGTATCAGAAGTCTTACCGGGGAGTCATAAAACATGTGTTAGATATCACCATATAACTTACACAGAGCTTGTGTCATTGACAATAAGTACAATTAAGCCTGGGCCACTACCGAGGAACAATCTCCCTTTTAGGTAAGTAGAGCTTCGACCAGATTGACCACTAGGATTCAACCGTCTGGTTTAAACACTTTAATGAGGCCAGACTGATGTAATTGCTTGTTGACCTGAATATTATATAAAAACCAGACACCCAAACAGCAAAAGCTATAGATCTGTATCTGCAGCCTTTATACACCTGTTCTACGATCTGCATTAAATATGTGGCGGCCTGGTGTAGAAAACGTTCTATTGCCCCCATGGCACGAGGTCACATGGTCAATGCACAATCGTCACCTTAGTGGTGCTGCTTCTTACACATCTAATGCTGGAACGTCTTGTATTCAATGGAAGGGAATATTTGTCACAAAACACTATGCTGCTTTAGCTGAACGTATAAACAGTAATCAGTTATTCACATGTTGGTCATTTTCAAACTATACACAAAATTTCAATGGTTTTCCTTGTGTTGAATGCTTTGTAACACTTTTTAATCTTTGCGTTTAAATTACTAAACTGATATTATGTCATTAAAAGTCTTTGTATTCTTGGCATCTGTTGTTTGTTTGTTGATTAACGCCACACTGCAATATTCCAGCCATACCATATTAACCTGGAAATAATCCAGACAAACAATCCAGTGACTGACACGCCGTGAGCACGATCCATGTCATCGGGGAAAGGGACACAACCACGTGACCGAGCCTGGCCACCCGAACCTATAGTCACAAGGAACAGAGTGGACCAGCCTATTTCAACCAGGATCTCCATTGGGTGCCTGGTCCATAGGAGGATCCAGAGGGTCCGGCCCCATCCTTTGAAAACCAAACGTAGTATGTTGAAGGCAGTAGTGACAGAGAGGATTTTGATATTTTCGACCCCTCCCTTTGGACAATGCTGGACCCGCCCTTGTGGTATCCATGTTTCATAGCCTTACAATGGACATCGGTCATTCTGTTCCCATGTATATCATCAGTAGGGAAGATCCGGGGTAGAATAGGTCTTCAGCAACCCATGCTTACCGTTAAAAGCGACTATGCTTGTCGTAAAAGGCGACTAACAGATCGGGTGGTCAGGCTTGCTGACTTGGTTGATGCATGTCATCAATCTCAATTGTGTGGATCGATGCTCATGATGTCTGTCACTGGATTGTCTGGTCCAGACTCGATTATTTAGTCCGCAATCTCATAACTGGAATATTGCTGAGTGCGGCGTTAAACAACAAACAAACAAAAAATCAGTAGGGATATAAAAAATACAAAATTTGGACGAATTGTCAACACATTGCCAGTAAATACTTCACATAGTAGATAAGAGTAAACAATGTAGGTATATACATATATATGCAAGGTGACATTGTATTGTCAGTGAGTGGCTGTGGAAGAAGCTGCAGAGTATTAGGAATAGTAAAGCTGCATCAAGGGGTGCAGAAGTATTGAGATTCAATATGTCCACATTTCAAAGTTCTGAAAAAAAAACTGAAATGAGACTGATAGTAGTAGATGAGAATGGATTGAAAAATGTTCTCATAACACTGAGATCGTGAAAACAAAGATATTGCACAATTTGGGTAATATCAAATGAAAATGAAGTGATTTTAGTTTCAAAATTTTGTTGGTTCATCCTCATGAGTAATGAGTAATTAAAACTTTAAAGAATGGTCAATGACATCATCAGCGACACATTCTTACCGGGAATAGTAGCGGAGATACAAATGAGATATGAAATGAAAATGTTGCGTTGAGCAATGCCAGAACATATGGTTCGACTCTTCACGTGGGAATTCTTGCTGCGAAACTGTGATGTAATGTTCTCGAAAATAATCACTCTCAGATTTATCTAACAAAAGACAGAATCGGAGATGTGATCATGTGATACACTGAGCACCAACATTGTTGTGTATCACAAGAAATAGCAAGAATGTTTATGCTGCCGGTGACACAACTACTTTTGTATTATGATGAAAGAGTGAGAATCTGGAGTTGGTGGCATGTTTTGAACATGTGATAACAAACTCGTCCATCACCTTCAAAACCAACTTATTCACCTCTGTGGCATACAGTTCTTAATCAATTAAGATTTTGTTACCATTCAAAACTTTTTCATAATTAAATTAACATTAATCTGATAATTCATAATATTAAAATATTTACTTTCAAAAATGTAAAGCAGAACAAATTTTCCTTTTCCTTTTAATACAGAAACAAAAGTAAATGAATAAAATCAAAACAATATTCATAGTTGATTTCAAATACAAGAACATCAACATGTCGGACCTCACACTTACTTGACACAATTGGTATCACAAGTTTATTAAGCAATGTTTATTAAGTTTATTAAGCTATGCAAAGCATTTGCAATAACGCCCACCACCAAGGCTGAGATTTGGAGAGTGAAAGATAAAAACAGTAGCTGTGCACGAAGGACAGGCAACGAAAAAACGTGAAAGTCTTACAAAATACAAATCAACATTTTGAAGAAAGGGAGGCAACTCTTTCTATAAAACACTGCTACAACACAAGAGAAGATATCTATTGGAAGATGCACCCAAGTATTCATGGACCAGAAGTTTGCCATGATCATTTGCTTCAGTGTGCCATTTTGAAAATCTTATTGCATAGTTCAAATCTAATGGGAGAGTTTATCAGGGGATTCCCAAGGGTGAGTTTATCAGAGGATTCCCAAGGGTGAGTTTATCAGAGGATTCCCAAGGGTGAGTTAATCAGAGGATTCCAAAGGGTGAGTTAATCAGGGGATTCAAAAAAGTGAATTTATCAGGGGATTCAAAAAGGTGAGTCTACACATATTGGGATTCAATCCTAACATTTTTATGTGACCAAAAACACCCAAACTAAGGCTAACCATCCCAATCTCAGTAAAATCAGATCTAAGTTCTCGCTGCCGCAAAACAAAGATCTGAGGACATCCCATTACGGGTCACGTCAGAACAACCTTTTGCGAACTTTGACCAACCATTGAAATGACTAACAAGAAGTCGACATCAGCCAATTAGAAAGCAGCCTTCTTGAACTTTACAGCACTCATTTCAACCTGGCGACTTTCATTTCAGACTACGCTTGAAAAATATGTTGACACAGTTCTCAATTAAAATTTTGAAAACTGAACAAACGAACATCCCGGAATGTCTAATATATGGTAGAGATTGTATAACAGCGCTTCCCACGTACTGTGCAATGCCTCCTCTGTTTAAATGTTTATCCCAATGGGAAACGAAATAATTTTGACTTGAATCAGTTGTATCGGCTGCAACTGTTGTTCAGAATACCCTGTATTAATGTTTTCAAGGTTGCATGATTAGAAAACACATTCCGACTGTCACTTTCATGATCTGGTAAGCAACGCTTTGATTGGTCGGATGAAAGGTCGTTCTGACGTTACCCATAATGGGATATCCTCAGATCTTTGTTAAGCGATAGAGAGTACTTAGATCTGATTGTAATGAGATTGCTAACCATCCCATCCTCCCTTAAACTGTTAAACAACTCTTCTCTACCTCGGCTTGGGAGGTATCAGTATTTTCCTTCAGCAAAAGATTCTTCGATAGCCTTGGACCAGTGTTTTTGTTTTGTCATGACCTGCTGGCATTCCTCACTGGTGAGATAACGACTGACGCGACGGATAACTTGACATGTATGGGGTTAATGGGATGACTTGACATGGATGGGGTTAATGGGATGACTTAACATGGATGGGGTTAATGGGATGACTTGACATGGATGGGGTTAATGGGATGATGATGATTGCTAGGACATGAAAGTTGAGCCCATGATACAATAATTATCATATCTAAGAAATTGCACATAGAATCTTTAAGAAATTAACCAAAGACTGAGCAAAGTAAAAAGCCATGTGACTGAAATGTTAGAGCATAAGGTCAGTCTGGACTTGGTTGCCATGGCAATGTGCCATGAAACATTTTTCATTAACAGAATCATCCAGAAAGGGGGAATTCTGGAATGACAGAGGTTCTTTGTATAAAATATTTTTTGACATCACACAGTAAAATGTCTTCTCTGAGTAATCAATGTTCCAGCTGTAATTTCCCCAAATAGCTCAATGCTGTCACAATTCTGGATAGTAGCCTCATTTAAGTGTTTATTTCTTGTCATACATCTAAAACAAACAACACACATTTCTTCAGGACACTTCTGATATTTTGTGTTACAAACATTCAAGATACAGTTTTTTCAACAATATCACAATTTTGTTACAAGTGAATCAACGTAGGTGCGCTAGATGAATCCACATTCTTTAGGTCAAAGATCACAGATAGCTAATGTCAAGGTTATGGTGCAGACCGACAGGGGAGCTAACTCTACAAAGAAAACACAGCTCCAGGTTTGGTCCCGGGGATTATGGGATAGGCACATTATAGTGTCGGTCATCTTCAGCCAACAGGTTGATCGTCGGCCATTTTTCTGGGGAGGTGTCGGGGAATTTGACGAGGAAGTCTTCTTGGGAGACGTTCTGGAGACGTGCCACCTGTATCGACACACCCAACGAGTGACCCAGCAGACACATCTCAACCTGAAACAGTGGGAAGAGGATTTATGGAGGGGAACACAGAACAGCAAAGAGAATATAAGGCAGTCTCCCAAATCAATCTGTCCCATGGTCACTGTGTACTTCAGTGAGTGAGTATGGTGAATATGCTGCTTTTAGCAATATTCCAGCAATATCACGGTGCGGTGGGGGACACCAGAAATGGGCTTCACACATTGTGTCCACATTGGGAATCGAACCCGGGCTTTTGGCGTGACGAGTGAACGCTTTAACCACTGGGCTACCCCAACCACCCCTGTGTCCTATCTTAGATAGTTTGACTGTCCTGATTAAGGCGAGGACTGGAAAAAATATCAAAAGTAATTTTCCCTGCAGATTTTCCCTGTGTCCCCTCCACATCCCCTCTAGATCCGCCTATGACCTAACTGTTTATCCAGAAACCAAATCTTATTATTGTGGATCAGTCTAATAGATCATGATTCCCCTTATTACAATGACAATGTCTCAGATTCACACAGGCCAAAGCTATCAAAGTCCTGAGTGAGACTGAAAGACTGTAATTATTGTTTAAAATGGTTCTTGTCATTTTGTTTTATGTTTGTTGTTAAATGCCACACTCAGCAATATTCCAGCTTTATGACAGAGGCTTGTAAAGAATCAAGTCTGGTACAGACAATCCAGTGATTGATATCGTGAGCAGCGACCCACACTGTTGGGGCGTGAGGACTTGCAATCAACTGAGTCTGACCACCTGATTCATTAAGTCGCATCTTATAACAAGCAAATGTTGCTGGGGGCCAATGTCGACCCGGGACTGCTTCATGTAAAAGAATACGTAAAGCCATGCATAGCTCTAGGAACAATATACTGATAGTCCCTAGGCCTTGCACATTTTGATATAGAAAAATCACAAATTTTGCACATTAAACATGATAAGTACTAACAAAACCAACTCCATGACAAATTAGATAGTAACAATAATTACTGAGTTACACGAATAAATATTCAATTTTATTTTCACCTCATTAATTTCAAGCTTTAATTTCACTTTATGTTTTCGGAGCCACTCCACCTACCTGCTCAAGGCCTGCAGAGTCGCCCACAACATTGAGATGATTCTTGACGAAGTCGGACACATTCTGGCAGGAGTCCCTGGCGAACATAAGCCACACAAACAGAGGAACGTCCTCGCCCTGTTCACTCGCATGTTGGAGTTCAATTGAGTTCAAGGCCATTAGCAGTTTGACCCCTTCCATGAGTTCAAGGTCAGTGACAGGGTCAGAGTTCAGCAGGTCAGATGTGTATTTGGCCCGTTGTTCATAGGATGGAAGTTTGCATATATCCTCAATCTGGAACATGAAGGTGGTTAGTCAGGGATATTCAGCGTGAACATGGAGAATGTCAACTTACATGTAAAAAGACACACACTGAACTATGTAGAAAAGCATAGATTGAAAAAAACCTCAGGATAGCAGCATCTCAGACCCATGGTGCTCATATCAACGGATACATGTAGCAAAGGGAGGCAACTATGCACAGTGAATTACAGGTCTTTGGTTTAGACCCATGGTTAGCGGATGCTGGTAACAAAGGGAGGCAACTCTGACCAGTGAATTACATGGCTTTGGTTTAGACCCATGGTAAGTAGATACTGGTTCAAAGGGAGGCAACTCTGTATTCTCCTATTTCCTGCAACCCACCGTTGAGTACAGAGAAAGCATACATTCACACATGCGTGTGAGTCTGTTTTCATCCGTAGCAGGAAGACGTCCCGCGAAGGTCCACTGCTGGAGCCCCGAACCAGGATCCTGATACAACTGATGTAGTTTGTTGATAGTATCCACTATGCCTGGCCAGGTCTTTGTCACATGGTGGCCCTCACTCAGGATTTGGTACAAACAGCCTCGCACGGCACAGTAGTTGTCTCCCCTGATTTGTTTTAAGCGCTGGCAGTTGATCAGTCCTGGTATAGAAGCGTAAGCCTGGAAGGCGAGAGGAGTATGTGAAGCACTTAATCTTTGATGATTTGTCCAAAAATATATACATTGCTAGTGATTCCATGGTCTTTGATTGGATAATTAAGCAATTTTTTCTTGCATTTGCAAATAAAAGATCACGCCCACTAACTACTATTTACTGATAATAGTGAAACCCACGAGCATGGGTATGGTGCTGACAAACCTAGGAACATAATCGGGGCGAAGCGGGATTCGAACCCACAATCATAGGTTTCTGGCGTGTCCAAGGAATGCAACTCTGCACAGCAAATCGCGGTGCCTTAGATGACTGGGCCATTCATGCCCCCTTTTAGTATATGTATGAAAGATATTTTGAAATGATCCTACAAAGTAACTATTCAAATTCTTTTTCAAAATCTTTTCATCTTCCTCCTTAACAATTTCATGAATATATTACCTCCTTTGATGACAAACCGCAGACTAAAAAGGTGATGCACAAAGACTGTTCTAAAAATATGTCTCAGCCGAAGATAAAAATTGAAATACAAAACAAGTCATATATCAACTGTAATTCCATTAGTCAATGTCAGAGACCCCTGAAGATCCAGGGTAGAATAGGTCTTCAAGGACCCATGCTTGCTGTAAAAGGCGACTATGCTTGTAAGAGGTGACTTACGGGATCGGGTGGTCAGCCTCACTGAATTGGATGATGTAATCGTATCCCAATTGCATAGATCAATGCTCATGATATCAATCACTAGATTGTCTGGTCCAGACTCGATTATTTACAGAGTGCCGTAATGTTGTTAGAATTATTAGAGTGTGGCATTAAACAACAAACAATAAAGTTTTTTAAGGTCATAATAATAATGTACCATGAGAAACTATCAAGAAGTGTGTTGAACCCGCTATGACTGTGTCCCGATTATCTCCCTTGTTACCTGTCTGATGGCGTTGGCCTTGGGCGTGTCCCCCTGCCACTCTCTCTCTGCATAGTCCTCAATGTTCACTCCGCCACTGATGTTTTTTAATCTCCCCCGAGGTTTGCCTACAAAAAAAGGCAAGAACAGTTAATGCTCTGTACGAGAGAAATATTTCTGAACCTGACAGTGAAATCTACACACATCACTCAATGAAAGCGTGATTGAGTTACTGAGTGAGCTTTCAGCAATGTGCCAGCAATATCGCGGGGGGGGAACACCAAAAATGGGCATCACACATTATACCCATGTAGGGAATCAAACCCAGATCCTCGGCATAATGAGTAACAGCTTTAACCACTTGGCTACCCTACCGCCCCACACTAATGGAGGAAAGTTACTCCAAAAAATTGTTTTATATTTTGCCGTTATTTGATCATTCATAAATATAACTGTGAAACATCCACAAGTAGCATCATATAGAAAATGTTTGTTTTTTTATTACACGCTTTTCTCTAACCAGCCAACAGAAAATTTTCACAAAAATCGAATGCAGCTAACCCGAATCAGTACAATGCGTGAAACCCATATCTGGCGTCAACCATCATGATATTGCTGAAATATTTGCTAAAAGCAGCGTAAAATCATACTCTGACAAATGCAGCTATTTTAAGAAAAGTAATATTATTTCTCATTATGACAAAAACATACAAAATAGGAGGACAAGGTGAGGGAAGTAACCCTTATTAACTTTTGAAATAAAAGAATATTCTCCTCACAATTATATTTTATATTTCACTGGATACTATTACTATTTTCATTACAATTAACTGACAAAATTTGTAAATCAATCATACAGAATCATAACAGCCTTGACCTACTTTGGGTTCGATGTGATGGCTGACTGATGGCTCCCGGCACACTGTCCTCCTCCAAGTCACCATCAGATAGATCTGTTTGTGACTGCCCTACACTAGTATCGGCGGCCATCTTGAACGGGGAGCTGTCACACGAAGACGAGAGACTAAGTTCACTACCATCAGTTTGCTCCTCGGGAATTAGCGTGTTCTGTCGTCTGGCCCGGAACCTTCTTCTGTTCCTCATAGTCCGAGGTAGTTCATCGTCACCAATATCTCCAAGGTCCCAGGCTAGTTCCACGCTACCTTCCCGAGACGATCGCTCCGAGTCGGAATACGAATGACTCGGCGACCTTTCCCATCTTGTACGTGCTCTGTGAACAATTTCCGACGCACGTCTGGCCATTGGGCTCCTCTCTCGATGTTCTTTTGGCTTCTTTTCTGGTTCATCCCCACGATGTATCAAGTCTGAGAGCTGCGACGTGATCATTGAGAACTCATCCTGTATATCCTGAAGCTCATCCTCAATATGCTCTAAGTTTTTGGTAGTATGGACACTAAAATCAATCAACTCATTGTCAAAAAGCTCACTATCAGGAGTACACACATCCGACATAGTCCTATCTAAGCTTCGGCTTCTCCTGAGAGTCCGAGACACTGTCAAACGCTCGGGAGTGGGTGATCGGGATTTGTCGTCTACAGAGAAACTTGACCACTCTCGGAGTCGCTGGAGAAGCGATTGTTTGAACTGATAGTCTGACAAAGATTCCTGGATGATGGGGAGGGGGGACATGGTATCACGCTCCTCCTCGTCACAACTCCAGTCCCCCAGACTCCCCGTCCCTCCACTGTAGCTTTGTAATGATTCAGAAATCTCTAGGGAAGCATCATATTCCGCACTTAACGAATGACTTTTGTCCGATCTATCTACCTGCAAATGTCCAGTAGTACTGTCTGATGGATTTTTCCGATCACCAGAAAGGTGTGAATGTGATGGCGATATTTCGTCCTCTGATGGGGGCGTCAATAAGATGCTACTGTGGTCTAGCGTGTCACCGTTTTGAATGGTGATACCAGACTTTTCGTCTGATCCATATGAAACGTCAGCAGATTGTCTATTTTTATTATTGAGGGACTTAGGACTGAAGTTGACCTGCAAGGACTGGCTCAGAGAGGGATATCGTGATAATGTGTAGCCTTCACCCACACTGCTTGCATCATCAAAGTTATCAGGCATATTTTCAAAGCCACTTTCCGCTGTGCATGTAGAGTAGAAAGAGTCGCGGTTAATACCGCCGTCACTGTAGAAGGACTGACCAAGCTCGGACGCACCGCCAATGGCCGAGTCCTTGTCTGAATTCAGTGACGACTGCCGCCGACCTTTCTTCCGCATCCTGACTGAGTCATAGTCGGGTGTTATGTCACACTTGTCAGACTTCTTGGAAAAGGCAACTCCGTAATTTGAGTCGTCATGACTTGTGGGGGGGCACACTTTCCCGCCCTCAACATTTCCCATGTCTGCGTTGGCAGCACCGTCAGAGGATCCCTGGAGACAAAAAAGTTTATGTTACAACAAGCATCTTCACTTGGACAAACAGTTAGTTTTCAAAGTTGCAGCATTGTTTTCGAAGAGGACTTCCAAATACCGGTTTGCCCACCAACACCAAACAAACGGGCTCTCTCTCATTTTTGTGGATGAGTTAGTCCATACCAACAATGAACACTCCCTGCCACACACACATCATCAATATCATCAATTAACACTCCCTACAACACATATTGTCCATGCCAACAATGAACACTCCCTGCCACACACACATCATCAATATCATCAATGAACACTCCCTACAACACATATTGTCCATGCCAACAATTAACACTCCCTGCCACACACACATCATAAATAGTATCAATTAACACTCCCTACAACACATATTGTCCATGCCAACAATGAACACTCCCTGCCACACACATCATCAATATCATCAATGAACACTCCCTGCATCACACATATTGTCCATGTCAACAATGAACACTCCCTGCCACACACATCATCAATATCATCAATGAACACTCCCTGCAACACACATCATCAATATCATCAATGGACACTCCCTGCCACACACATCATCATTATCATCAATTAACACTCCCTACAACACATATTGTCCATGCCAACAATGAACACTCCCTGCAACACACATCATCATTATCATCAATGAACACTCCCTGCCACACACATCATCATTATCATCAATTAACACTCCCTACAACACATATTGTCCATGCCAACAATGAACACTCCCTGCAACACACATCATCATTATCATCAATTAACACTCCCTACAACACATATTGTCCATGCCAACAATGAACACTCCCTGCAACACACATCATCATTATCATCAATTAACACTCCCTACAACACATATTGTCCATGCCAACAATGAACACTCCCTGCAACACACATCATCAATATCATCAATGAACACTCCCTGCCACACATATTGTCCATGCCAACAATGAATACTCCCTGCAACACACATCATCAATATCATCAATGAACACTCCCTGCCACACATTTTGTCCATGCCAACAATGAACACTCCCTGCCACACACACATCATCAATATCATCAATTAACACTCCCTACAACACATATTGTCCATGCCAACAATGAACACTCCCTGCCACACACATCATCAATATCATCAATGAACACTCCCTGCACCACACATATTGTCCATGTCAACAATGAACACTCCCTGCCACACACATCATCAATATCATCAATGAACACTCCCTGCAACACACATCATCAATATCATCAATGGACACTCCCTGCCACACACATCATCATTATCATCAATTAACACTCCCTACAACACATATTGTCCATGCCAACAATGAACACTCCCTGCAACACACATCATCATTATCATCAATTAACACTCCCTACAACACATATTGTCCATGCCAACAATGAACACTCCCTGCAACACACATCATCATTATCATCAATTAACACTCCCTACAACACATATTGTCCATGCCAACAATGAACACTCCCTGCAACACACATCATCAATATCATCAATGAACACTCCCTGCCACACATATTGTCCATGCCAACAATGAATACTCCCTGCAACACACATCATCAATATCATCAATGAACACTCCCTGCCACACATTTTGTCCATGCCAACAATTAACACTCCCTGCCACACACACATCATCAATATCATCAATTAACACTCCCTACAACACATATTGTCCATGCCAACAATGAACACTCCCTGCAACACACATCATCAATATCATCAATGAACACTCCCTGCCACACATTTTGTCCATGCCAACAATGAACACTCCCTGCCACACACACATCATCAATATCATCAATTAACACTCCCTACAACACATATTGTCCATGCCAACAATGAACACCCCCTGCCACACACACATCATCATTATCATCAATGAACACTCCCTGCCACACATATTGTCCATGCCAACAATGAATACTCCCTGCCACACACACACCATCAATATCATCAATGAACACTCCCTGCCACACATATTGACTAGCCAACAATGAACACTCCCTGCCACACATATTGTCCATCCCAACAATGAACACTCCCTGCCACACATAATGTCCATGCCATGGTAGAGCTGGATGGCAATGAGACAGCAAACCACCTTACAAAATCTTGCTTGTAAAATCCTGAGGTAATGATATCTGAACTCAGATCCCAACCAAAAGATTTTGACTTCATTTTAGCAAAATCTTTCACCACGAGCTGGCAACAATTGTTGAATGCTGGGACTAATGGCCAACATATGAACACAATTTGTCATGACACATTAACTATAGTAATATGAAAGAATCGGGTGTTCCTTAAATTCTTTTGAGTAGTATAAATAACAAAAAGTCATGGAGCAATCTGGATGAAGATTGGCCTACATTTAAGTTTGACCTAAGATGTGTAAATAAACAAGATAAAGACAAGACCTCCTCAGGCTGTATGAACCAAGACTGAAAACAAACCCTACTCACCTCCAGAAACACAGAGTAACAAACGCAGAGTAACAAACGCAGAGTAACAAGCCGAGATCTGCGTCCCTGGCCATTCATGTACCAACTGTGACATCCACTCCACCTCTCCACAGAGGGAAGAGGAGCTTGTCAACAACAGTTTACCACGTAATAGCTGTCACAGGTCAATGGCCTATATTCACACCCATCCTTCCAAACTCAATGGTGTTATCTGTAGGATAGGCTGACCAAGCCATGAGGCCAGACTTGAGCCATCGTCATCAGACAATAACATGTAAACAATGTCTCCTAGTAATTAAATCAACAAGGAAACAAAGTACGAGCAAACAATAGAATGGAAACATTGTTTAAAACAATAACGTCAAGAGAGGTTTCGGGACATTCCAAGGACGAGCAGAAACTCCTATGACATCATTTTTAGCCCTCAAGGTAAATGTTACGCTTCTGGTGTAACCAATAAAAGTAACCATTGTATTCATCCATCGATTCATCTCTAGATGAGCACTTAAGAAGTCTATGCTTTTTGTAACATGTCTCTATTATCTTTTGTACTTTCTTCAATATGAACTTAGCCTTATTATTAAACAAACCATTGTTCTATGTGATCATATATGTTTATGTAAACATGGAAAAAAATAAAAAACAAGGGCAAAAGTGAGCGTGACTCACTAATAACCCCGACCCGCCTAGTGTGTCAGTAGTTTCAAGTGGCTGTAGAACCAGTCCATCACGCTAAACTTGCCCTGTGTGAGATGCCTGACGGAAGTCACTCTGTTTAATTAGAAACTGGATAGGGTTAGGGTTTGAAAAATTCATAAAAAAATGGAAAATTGATAAAAACAATGTTTTTCTTTTGACTGCACCCCTCCATATGACACAGATTATATGTACTAAGTTTGAGATGAATCCAGTGAATAGTTTAAGAGAAATCGCGCGGACAAAGTTTTCGGACGGACGGACGGACAGAACCTTGGTATAACTATATACCCCCAACATAAAAGTTCGGGGGTATAAAAAAAAGTATTTCAAAAACCCATACAAATCCGATTGGACACAGAGACTTGTTCCACCCCTACCATTAGACCAGACTAATGTTTGGTTTTATGAACTTCAAAGATCCCAAAATACAGAAGGCAAAATTAATCCTTCTCTACAGATTGCTTGTAACGTTTTCATCTATCAACAAGCATTTTCAAAATTAATATCCTGAATTTTTATGCATTCTGTTTTGAATGTTTCTATGATCACAGGCCATTTACTTTCTTGTTATCTTGAGACCGCCCCCGTGGCCTCGTGGTGAGCGGAAGGTCCGGGGTTCGATCCCCAGCCGTGTCATACCAAAAGATGTTAAAAGATGGTACTTGTTGTTACCCCGTCTGACGCTCGGCTTTAAGGGGCTAAAACAAGGACTGGTCGGCTCGGAGTCAGTACACTGTGTCTGAGTGGGGTATTCATGTTAAACTGCGGCATGGTATCTCAGTGAGCTAGCACTATAAATCGGCATCAGTCTGGACTAGTACAAGAAGCCACACACACACACGTGCATGCATGTCGCCATACCAGTGCAATAATCTTGGATGCGACGTTAAACCCCATTTCACCTCATCTCACCTGTCGTCTTGAAATGATTTGCCTAGGAACAGAATACACTGCTCTGTTGTTTCTGAATGGCATTACCAGTGAATGGGCACACACGTTTTGCTGCTCTAGTGGGTTAGTCTAGTTGTTAAAGCGTTAGCTCGTCATGCAGAAGACCTGGATTCGATTCCCCTCATGGATACAATGTGTGAAGCTCATTTCTGGTGTCCCCTTTAGTGATATTGCTGGAATATTGCTACAAATGGCGTAAAACAAGATTCACTCACTCATTACCCAACCAAGCAGGCAGGTACTCAGAATCATTCACATACCCTGATGTGTGAGTAGATGAATAGGGCACCTTCAGACATACGATTTTTTTAAGACTAGTCCAGATGACTAATGTCAACCTTATTTCACTGGTCTAGAGCTGGGACGAGTCCAAATTTACTACCCGGGTACCCAACCCCCTATTACCGGCCCTACCCGGGAACCCTCTGTAGGTCTCAAGAGATTGGTACAAAATGTCCACTAGGGAATTGTTTGACCAGAGCCCTGGCAAAAAGTATTCAGGTACACTATTATATGGAATGTGTGAACAGTTCGGAAGAAATGTCAACATTCGTGACCTATAGTGTATTCACGCAGTTCTAGATAATTTTGTCATTAAACTATATATCACATGACTAACCACGGGTCTGGGTAGTCCTGTGGGTGTCCCGGTCCCACTCACTACCCACCCGACTCGAGTACCCGAGTTACCCATCCCAGACCTACACTAGTCCTAAGATTGTGTAGCCAGTCCTGCTTCAAAAAGACCAAAAATGTTTACTATGGTTCCATTATCAGTTTTAATCAGCTCTGATTTGATGCAAACCTGAAACATTGACAACTGGTTCAGAGTT